CGAATGCGGATCTTTGGATAGCGACTGGTGTTTTCGCTATGCCCTCAAGTGTTTCGGACTATCGCAAGAAATGGCAACAGAGCTGGATGCAGCGACCACATATCCCAGACTGGTTGAGGAGCAGAATGGTCTAGAAGGGCTCATCTGGATAGCTTGTGAGGACCCCACAACACGCACGAGGTGAAACTGGTTTTGTCAACAACCAAAGAGGGCTGGCAGTACGAAGCCTTCTTCGTCCGACCAAGTGCAAGATTCTCCGTTACCTCTTGGTTCTCTGGCGCTCCAGCTGGCATCATATGACTATGGCACCAAAGACTCCCGTCCATGGATCTATCTATATACATCAACTCTCTGCTCCACCGTCAACCTGTCTGACGGCTGGCTCCCCAAGCTCAAGTGAGACGTCTGTCTTGTCCATAGCAAACATATTGGACTATATTCGGCAGAAGATTGTACCGAAGCCTGTGGAGTTGATGGACAATCATCCTCCTTTGCCCCAGTTATGGCTATTTATCCATCAATTTATCCATGATTTGCGGGCGGATCGCCGTCGTCCCGTACCCCAGGTGGAGTGTCAACCTCCAGGTCAGCATCTGCCTGGACTCTGGGCTCTCCGCATCGCATCTGGTCTGACCTGATGCAGGATGCTACACAAAGGCACTCCCTCCAGCTACCCAGCTTTCCCCATCTGCACCAAGCCTGATTTCAGGCTGAAAATACCTAGCACTCTTGGAGACGGGCCCTACATATCCCCGCAGTTTGATGACACCAAGACACACCACCGCACCACCGAGAGTGGCGACAGAACGTTACAACAGAGCTGGCACCCTAGCATGCTGCGTCCAATGCTTGTTGATGCTTGCACATCTTGTCTTCATGTAGACTGGTGCCAACGACCAGGTGGTTTTCCCATGGCTGAACTATTCGACATTTGGCAAATATCCGGCCTCTATCATTCCATCTGAGCACGTTCGGTGTAAAGATCCGTTGAGTCTGCCCCATGTGCTATGAAGTCTCCAATAGTTCTCCTAGGAGGAGCTGGAGATCCGCTGACACGGCAGTGAACTGATAATACTGTCCCTGCGCTTGAGGAGCATCCTTGTCCAACATGTGGCCGTCTGAGAAGGCCGATAGGTGGTTGCATTTAATAAATCCGCCCACCTCACCACATCGCTCGTCTGGTCCTCTAGCATTGAGTGTTCTGCTACGCCGACTCTTCAGATTTCTCTCTGCACTCGACCGATATGTCGTTCCTCAGAAGAATCGTGCACAACGATGCCGTCAAGCTGGACCCTCCAGAGGTCTACAACTGGAGAGTCTTCGCCTTAGCAGCAGCCGTGAGTCACGACAGCCTTGACCGGTGGAGGTGAATTGTACTAAGATCAAGCAGGCCTGTTTCGGAGGCACACTCTTTGGCATGGATATTGGTATCATTGGTGGTGTGTTGACGTTGCCCGATTTCAAGGAGTATGGCCACCCCCTCTACAAATTGCTATGACGCTCATTGACCTGCTTCAAGTGAATTTGGAATCACACACAAGTCGAAAATTGCACAGTCCAACCTCTCTGCCAACCTGGTGTCGGTCATGCAAGCAGGCGCTATCGTTGGTGCACTGGCCGCCAATCCATTGGCCGACAAATGGGGTCGGAAGATTACCATTTATGTTGTTGCAACCTTCGCTTTCATTGGGGGTCTCCTCCAGGCTCTATCGTACGGCCATTTATCCTGCTTCTACATCGGACGGTAAGTGGAACAATAGGAGGCCTTGAGTGATTATGGGAATTGACAGTATCAGGTTCGTCGAAGGACTGGGTCTGGGCGGAGCCACCATGGTCGCACCCACCTATGTTGCTGAGAACGCTCCCCGCGGTATTCGAGGTCTGCTGGTCGGGTTCTATCAGCTTTTCGAAACGATGGGTGCTATGGTTGCCTTTTTCATCAACTACGGCAGTCTGCTCCACTTGAAAGGCCATGCTACATGGATCGTCCCGTTGTCGATGCAGTCCCTGCCCCCGTTCCTCCTCTTTGTTTCCATCTTGTTTTGTCCCGAAAGTCCTCGATGGCTCGCTTCTCAAGACAATTGGGACGATGCCTCCAGAATTCTTGCGAAAGTTCGAAACCTACCGCCCACACACCCCTACGTGCAAGCCGAACTTCTCGAAATGCAAACACAGCTGGAAGCTGAGAGAGGCCGCGCTGGCGGTAACAGTTACTGGGCGTTGACAAAAGAGGCGTGGACAATTCCTGGAAATCGCAGACGAGCGATCATGGCGATCGCGCTGATGACGGCTCAACAATGGACGGGAACCAATGCCATCGTGGGTCTTTTGCATCTTCCAGCGCGAGGTGGTCCAACTGACATGATTACAGAATTACTACGCGCCGACTATCTTTACCGATCTCGGCGTTACCGGAAACACACAGAGCCTGTTCGCTACTGGTGTCTACGGCATCGTGAAGATGGGTTCCTGTGCTATCTTCATCACCTTCCTTGCCGACACTCTCGGGCGCAGATGGTCGTTGGTCTGGACTGGGCTGTTCATGTGGTTCTGCATGTTCTATCTGGGCTTTTTCGTCCGATTCGACGCCCCCAAGCAAGGTGCTCCTATATCTGGTGCTGGGTACGCTGCATTAGTCATGGTGTATCTCTATGCAGCAGCCTTCCAATTTGGCTGGGGCCCTGTTTGTTGTATGTAATTTACCCATCATATGCCAGGTGATGCTAACTGTGTCGGCAGGGATCTATTCATCTGAAATCAGCACTCAAAGGCTCCGAGGCCTGATTGTGTCATATGCTGCCGCGACACAATGGGTTTTCAACCTGGCTGTTGCTCGAGCTACACCCGTCATGCTGGATACTGTGGGCGCAGGTGGCTATGGTACATACTTTATATACGGCTGCTTCTGCTTCACCATCGCCATCGGAGCCTACTTCCTAGTGCCTGAGACCAAGGGGGTAAGTGGAAACCTTCCAGCGATATCGTTTCTTAGCTGGCTGGGTGCTAAAATTCTGATCAGATTTCCTTGGAACGAATGGACGAACTGTTCGGAATGACCGACTTTAGTGGAATTGAGGATGTCGGAGTGGCTTCCCACAAACACGATGTCGAGGCCATCCACGTCGAGGTCAAGTGAGGTAGCGACAGCGGGTCGCAACGCAGCGGTCGTCTATCGACCTAATAGCAACGTGGACCTTGGAGTGAAAGTATCATCGCACTTCTCCAGTCTTTCGCTTCTCTCAGGATGCACCTGAGCTGCAACTCTTCTCACACATAACCCTGCGACGTTTCGAGGTCGACCAGATTGCTCAGTCGTTGCCCACCATGTATCCCACCGTCAACCAGCATTTTTAGTCAAGTCGTCGTCATGAACCATACACACGGATCGATAACAGGTAACTGGAAATGACATAGTTGCCAATATCAGTAATGACATCGGATGTCTGATGTCTACAGCTTTCTCAACGTCAAGCCATTCTGCCAAGATGATACTATATAAAGAGTATATACATACGAGGATAGCGGCGGACTATCGGCGGATATATCTATTTGTTATGAAATGGCGGTTGTCTTATCTCTGACAGCAGCTGAGGGCTCCCGCTATCCCGCCTCTTGTCCTAGCTGGCCCCAACGGAACTGCGGCAAATGGGTCGAAGGTTTGATCAGCACTGGCATACTTCTCCTTTACGCCAATTACTTAAGTCAAAGGGTCATACTATCCCTCCAATTCTTGAAAAGCCTACAAGCACAGCTAAGTGTGCTCGATTCGGGCAAAGGTTTGCCTTACCAACGCCCTGGCCAACAGCCCTGGCACAGCTCTCGACCTACGAGCACTCGGACATAGCTGGTCACAAGGGCGGATGTGCGGAAAAGATCAAAGTGCACATATATCCCACGCAAGTTGACCACTCATGCCCTTGCACAAACTTCTGCCGGATCAAAAAGGGACGAGCAGATGATCCAATCATGCCCCCTTGATGCCCCCCAAGTTTCGCCTCACTCCGTCTGCAACCTATTTTCCTGCCTAAACCTCAACGAGCATGTCGATGCGTTGGACCCCGTGACCATCCCCTCTCGCTCATGTCCTTTGTCCTCCACTCACTGATACCAGGGTGGAGCTGATACAAAGCACCGTACATGGTGCAGAGAGTAGCAACCGAAGGAGAAGGAGAACCTGGACACCCGCCACTGCTGATGTGAAGGCTTTGGCTGCATTCCGGCGGACGATAGCGTGGGGATCGAGTCAACCGCAATCCAACGAGTCCGTGGGTTGCTGACTGAATTACGTCGGCTTCGAACCATGTCGTCCCACAGATACAAGCACTCATCCAACTCTGTCCTACCCTGGCGATTGCGATTGGCTTCTCACCACATCGTTTCCGCCAAGTGGCACCCAGGAACCTTGCCTCGCGTCTCCCCATCTTTGACAGGTTGATAAACTCCCGCCCGCCTTCCCAGCATATAGGAGACACCTCCGCCCTTCTTCTGCTCTACTTCCAGCCTCGAGGCCTCGTACAAGATCACTGAATTGTCGATTTTCGACATATCAGCTGCCTGTGTCGCGACCTTGAAGACTCCACAGCCGCTTGCACAGCTCCCACGCTCGATACTCAAGTTCAACCCTCGAACCGTCGTGCCACATATCCAACCGCCTTCTGTGCAACCGCGAGCTCAAAACGAACTATCTATACTGCCCTCCTAGCTCTTTGTCTCTGCATTGCTTCTTGCAAAGTTTAACCCCTCAGACGTATCATACGCTGATGTCGGTTGATATACGCAAATCTTGCCCTAGCCTCCGCTTCCCATTTAGAAGCGACACTGTCTCTACTGCTCAGCTCTGTTCCGAGCATACGGGCCATTCTACAAGACCCCTTGATCGAGGTTGATCAAAGAGTAGGTTGACCGACTATGTTTGACCTTTCGACTAAAGCCAAAGAAAGGACCCCAAAGAAGAGAAGAGTCCAAACAACTAGAAGCTGCTAAACCCAAACCCTTCCAGTATGGCTCTTCCCAGTGCCGCCGTCCCCATGCTTGACGCTGCAATCGTTCACGAGAAACCAAGCCCGACCGCCGTTGCAAAGGTCGCCCCAACCGCCCCAAACCCGGATCAAGTCCGTGTTGTCGCTCCGCACGAGTACAAACAGGCTGCCGCATGCTTGGCCGAGGCGTTTCGCCTTGACAAGATTGTTCGCTACGCCATCGACACTCCGGATCGCATGGATATGACGGAAGAGGAGCGCTTCGAATTGCACAAAGCCTCCATGGAGTACGTCACCTATGCTCATTGTCTCCAGGGACTGGTCTTGACGGTTGGTGAGAACTTTGATTGCGTTGCTTTGTGGCTGCCACCGGGTAAGAACATCGACGACTGGTTCACCATCCTCCGCAGTGGCATGTGGCGACTGAGCTGGAAGCTTTCCAAGGAGGGCAAGGCGAGATTCTTCGATGAGTTCCTGCCCCTGTTGCATCATACTAAGCAGGAAATATTGGGAGAAAGGGACAACAACTCCTGGTACTTGAACTATATCGGTACCAAGCCGGCGGCACGTGGTCGTGGTTATGCCCGAAAGCTGATTGAATATGTCACCAAGATGGTAACGTGGCGCACACTAGAGATTGATTTTGCTGGTTGACAGGCTAACGGAGACAGGCCGATGCTGACGGGATCCCGTGCTACCTGGAGAGTTCACACGATATCAACATCATCATCTACGGCAAGTTGGGCTTTGAGCTGCGCAAGCACATCTATTTGCAACGCGCTGCGGGCATTGAGCTGAGGATGGATGTCATGGTTAGGGAGCCGGTGGATCCGGAAAAGAAGGATGAGAATGGCAACATCGGGCAGTGAAGTTGGGCTGTGGATGAAGGTGTTCTTAGTGCAAAGAGCATAGCGGCCTCATCGCAGGACTGCTGGAGCCAAAGGGGGAAATGAATGCTTGGGAATCGTGAGACGCAAGATGGGAATAACATGGGGTTATCCAACTATCACTACACTCGTTTAGACACACAAGATGCAATATCTGCTCTCTCACTTGCGCACTTCACTGCTCTCCATTCTCTGTTTAGCGATCAGTAGGCGAGAAGGTGGTAAGGCTGAGGAGGTGGCCTGGTGTATGTACCACTACAAAGCCGCAAGGCTGAGGCGGAGCCTTGGGAACACGTCACTCAAACTGCGGTTTCTCAAAACTCCTTTCATTGTCAACACACAACAAACAGTACACATTAGTCGCATTCGCATTGTAACTATACAGAGTGGCTTCATCTATCTTTTGTACATTATAGATCCATGAGACTGCATTCTTGAAGATTCATTACCCCATTCCCACGCCGCCGCAACCATGGAGTCGACCACTTCGAGATGATCACTCGTCAACGACGTTGGACTCGACCGCCTGGGTGATTGCACGCCAACGCAGCTCCTTCGTCTAGCACCGAGACACCTTTCTTCTCGTCCTCCTTTTTCTCCCATGCCCAGCTACTCGAGTCCTTCCTCCTCACCTCCCCCCACTCCGTCACGCCGCCGAATCCGCTCATGCGCCCGGACATGCGAGCGTACCTGCTGCGCCATCGCCACCTTCTTTCCGCTAGCTTTTGTGTATAGTATAACAACATGGGCAGTATGGGTGGTGGCATCGATCGGCTTCGGATCTCACAAATCAAAACATGTCTGGTGGTTGACACAAGCCATCTCGTCACTGGGGATCATCCTCTACACGCTGGCCAATTGGTCATACACGGTGGCCGCCTTTACGGATCCCGGTTCACCTCTGAAGTCTCCCGACAAGTCATCAGATCGAAGTCAAGGGAGATACTCGATGCTTCCAACTCACGAGCCTCCCACCGATGCGGGTCAGTTGCAGAGTATCACCGTTTCCTCCACAGGAGCGCCTAGATTCTGCAAAAAGTGCCATACCCCCAAGCCGGACCGGACACATCACTGCTCTACTTGCAAGAGATGTGTCTTAAAGATGGATCATCACTGCCCTTGGCTGTCAACCTGTCTCGGGTTGCGGAACTACAAAGCATTTGTGCTCTTCCTCATCTACACATCTCTGTTCTGCTGGGTCTGCTTTGTCAATGCTGCATGGTGGATGTGGAAAGAACTTTTCGAGCAAAGTGGCTATCTGGACGAAGTGGCACCCATCAATATTATCCTTCTTTCCGTGATTGCCGGTATTATCGGCCTGGTCCTGAGTGCGTTCACTGGCTGGCATATACATCTCTGCATCAAGGGCCAAACTACCATCGAGAGACTCGAGAAGACGAGATACCTGAGTGGTGTGAGGACTCTTGTGGAGCGGAATCGCCAGGAGCATCAGTTGAATCACAGCAGACGCAGCTCCGAAGGCGTTGCAGGTAGACTACAGCGCGCGGGGGAGCAGTTTCTTGAGTGGAATGCCAATGCTGTTCCCGGGGCTTCACGGTACGAAGAAGGCGAAGAACACACCTCACCCGTCCCAAGTGTCCGTAACACGACACAGCGTGATGCCCCGTATCCTCAAGGTTCAGATCAGTCGGCCAATCATCGTCCTCAACAACCCGACGTGTTCGACGACACCCCAGCCGTTCGTGCATTGCGAAATACTTATTCCCACATGGAGGCCGCTCGCGAGCGCGAGAGATACTCACAATACCTGGATGACCAGGAATCCGAAAAAATGCCCAATGCATTCGATCTTGGCTGGCGTCAGAATCTTAATCACTTGTTCGGACCGAATCGGTTTCTCTGGGCTTTTCCAATATGTAACACCACAGGTGATGGCTGGCGTTGGGAAGTCAGTCCGAGATGGGTTGCGGCGCAAGAAGAAGCGGCGAGGAAAAAAGAGCAGAGGCTCGCGGCAATGATGGATCATGATCACTATGCAGGACCGATAAATGGAAGAGGCGGTCGTGGCTATGGGTATCAAGAGTACGAGAGCGACCGGGACCGCGATTACGTCGTCAACTTTGATGGACTCCACGAGAACACTGTCCCACGGCATGCTGACGAGGATATGTACTCCCACAGCGCCATGTCCATGAAGAATCTGCCTCCAAATCACAAGAATGCGTCCTCCACGGCAGATCTGAGCAAGAGGAGACAGCGGAGGGACTTTGACCAGGACGAACCTTTTGAGGTCAGCAGCGGCGACGACTACGACAGCGACTCAGATATTGGATATGACAATAGAGACGACCAAGACGATGCAGAGCGAGGCTGGACCAGGAGAAACCGTGCAGGACGAGGAAGATGATTGTTCGACGATTTCATCTTGTGTATCTTGTGCATATCTATTGGGACTACCTGGTTGGGGGCCCACAACGGGTCCTTTGGATAAATACAAGTACAGACGACTCCTCGCGGGTCTACACCGGACGGCTCAGGCACGGGCTTTATGTTATTATGCGGTCGCTCATGAGCGCAATGCAGGACTCTGGAGTGTTGAATATGGGATTGGATTGGATTGAACCGGATTGGATCACATGGGAACGGAATGCAATGGGATGGGATGGTATTGTATTTTGGGTACCCAACAGACGTAGCTAGCTGTTCAAAGCCACAAAGGCGAGAATGAAAGGAAGGGGCCTGCTACATTGCTCTAACCCCCTCAGTTTTGTATTGTACGTGTACGTGTACTTCTGCTTGTGCCTGTACTTGTCGTTGTACTCGCACCTGTCTACCAGTAACCAATCCTAGGTACTTACCTGAATATGCAGGAAGTTGTCTTGCAATTGGTTTCCAGAGCTAACAGCCGAAGAAGACAAGAGCAAAAATCTATCTCCTTAGCAGCTGAAGTGGATCTATATATTACACATACTCCGAACTGTGCTTCGTCCATTACCGTTTTCGTTCAGGAAACAGAGCGAGGCTGCTTTAATCGGGCACGTGACGCAGCATTGAAGAGACCCAGGCCGAGCCCGGGAGAGCGTCGTGGGAGCCACGGCAGAGTAACGGGGGAGTGCTCCCGAGTACTGGGGGAGCCACGGTCGACGCTGCCTAATGCCATTGCCCATTCGCAGACGCCAGTTCCGACTCAGGTAGAAAGTTGTGTGGAGTAATTAGTAGAGTAGTTCAATTGATGCCAAGCCGGCAACCAACTTCACCAGGCAGGGGAAAGGTGACCAGTGAGGTGATGTTGAGCAGCTGGGGTTGAACGTGAGTAGAGGTGGGGGAGGAAATTGGCTATAAACAGGGGGCGGGCCAGACATGTCTGCCCTTTGTCTGATTTAATCTAAGAAAGTCACTTTGGAGATTCCATGTGCTCGGACATCTTCTCTAACACACGCGCCCGTGGGGTAGGGTAAAACTGCGAGGCTTCCCCCCCTACAACATGGCAGCGTTGCCCAAGATCGCCTGACTACTCATTTCCACCAACGCTCCCGGTACCAGCAGTTGTTTGACCACGACAGCGGTGACCAAGGGCCGGTTCGTGCCGCAGAAAGCGTCCATACACTTCATGTACGCCTCCGCTTGGCTTTGATCGTTTGCGGCATCTCCAGAAATGTACAACGTCGCCGAAAAGACCGCGCGCCAGCCAGCCGTCACTCCAGCCGCGTGGAGAGCTTTCTCCGTGTTGACAAACGCCAATCGGAGTTGCTTGGCAGCATCGTCGGGGTAGGAGCCATCGTTTTCACGACCAAGTTGCCCCACGATATGCACAACTTGGCCGTTGGCCGGGAGGACAGCGGCGTTGGAGAGATGCAATTGCTCCGCGATTTGTGTTTGCGGGCCAGCAGGGTTGAAGTAGCGGACGCCGTATTGATTGATGGGACATTTGTATTCGTTCGACATTTTCCTTTGCCGTGTCTTTTGGAACGCAGGATTCGTTTCACCGAT